CTCCTCCGTCAGCAGCCTCCTCCAAATCCCTCACCCTCCCCTTCTTACGTGGGGGTGTCAACTCACATCCGCCATGATGAACCCCTTTCTCCCGCAGGGTCAATCTCCACGCCTGGAAGAGAAACTGCCGGTGACTCTTCCCTCTCGGCTTCTTCGCCCTCCCCACTACCAGCTTACTAAGCGAGCTCAGCCCCCGGCAGAACTTAGCAAAACTCCGCGGTCCCAGGCCTGCCTCAGACCGGGGAGGGAGGGAGTCCGAGTTCCCCAACTCCCCGAAAGGCAGCAGCTGGGACGCCTCACCTCAGCGCACCCCACCCGGCCCCTGCACGCCACAGAGCCGGGCCCAAGGAGAAGGGGCGTCCGCTCTGCTCTCCAGCCTCCCCGCCCGCGCCACACCCGGCCCGGCCCGAACGCTGCGCAAAGTGGCTCCAGTCACCTGGGTTTCTGGCCTGCGGATCCTCTGCTGTCACTTCAGGGACAGCTTCAAAGACAGTCTCCTGAGCAAGCCGCTGTCACATGATTCGTGACCTCGTCGAAGCTCCAGGAAGCACTCGAGACGATCCGGCGCCCCGTGACGCGGGACTTCCGGGGCGGCGGGCGGAGATGCGCGCGGACGGCCGACGTGCCCCCCCCACCCCCGGCCGCGCGGCCGCGTCCTGCGCGTGCGCTCTGGGCCGGGTTCTGCGAGGCGGTCGGGCCCTGCGCTTCCGGGGAAAATGCAGGCAAGGTTTGGGGCGGCAAGACGTTCTTGTGCGGGAAGGATGCATGAGATTGTCATTAGTTTTCAGGGTTTGTTATCATTAAACCTTTTTTTGTAGATGAACAAATTTGAGGGCATGGGTTTCGGACCCGTTTCCCGGTCTCTTGACTTTCCCAAGGGCGCCACCCTGTCAGCTCTTTACCCGAGCGAGGCCTCATCTAGGTGGAACCGAGGGCCACTGGCTTTCTGGAGTCACGTGTGCACCGCAAGCCTCTGCTTTTACCGTGCCAACATTGGAATGCAGACACCTTCTAGGAGCCCCTTTACACCAGGATTCAAAAATTAGTAAGTTCTCTCATCTGAGAAATAATTGAAAAAATAAAAGGCTTCTTTGGAAACCACATCTTCTCCCGTCTCCCACCCTTTTTTCTCTACTCCTTTTCATGTCCAAACTTTTGGAAAATTTTAGTCTGGTTTTTAATTGCTGCCTCCATATACCCAAATCCAATCAATCATAGTTCTGATTCTACTTCCTGAATATCTCTGAAAATCATTCACTTATCTATTTTGCTACCTTGATCTAAGCCTTGATTATCTCTTCTTTGGCAATAACCTCCTATATTTCCTACATTCACTTTTGCCATTGGCTTACACAGCAACTAAAATGATAAAAATCTAATCATGTAACTCCTTCCGAGAAAATCACGTTTTTGTCATAGGATAAAGTTCAGTATCATGGTCTTATGGGGACCTGGCCCCCTATCTTAATTCTCTGATCTGTCCTGGATTCCTTATGCTATAATCTTTTAAAGTTTCACATCCATGAAGTTTTTATCGCTTTACCAACTTAGCACACTGCCTGAAATATTTCTACAGCATTCACCTCAATCCTACTAATCTCACTTTTTGGGTTTTAGCTTAATTTAGGACCATCTTCTAGATATATGCTGTCATTGTAGCATTTATCATAATTATAATCATTTACTTGACATTTATATTTTTTTTGCTAGATGTAAACTTTGTAAGAGTTTTTATCTGCTTCAGTGATTAATTCCCAGTACCCAGCTCACTGCCTGCGATGTAGCAGGCATTGATACATTTATTGAATGGTTGAATGAATGAAACAATGGGCATATTAAGAGTACAAAACTTGATAAAAACTAATCTTTTACAGTGAGAAGAGAACTTTTTATTAATATATTGAGATAAACTACAGAGACTGAAAAACAAAAATTCATCATAAATCATTCAGCAGAACATTCATTAAATATCAAATGCATTTTCTTTAACGGAGTTCTCACACAGAAAACTTTATTTGTCTGATATAATAACATTAAATATTTTACAAATCAGACATTTCATTTTTAAACTTAATTTATAATTTTGAATGCACTATAGACAAAGTAAGCCCTCCTTTACCAGTTTCACTTCATTTAACTTAGACAAGGCTTCCATTACAATTCCATCACACCTTGAAAATTACCCGCAGCTTTTCAAAATACAAACTAAACTTCACATGGAAAGAAAGTATGTAGCAATCCAAAAACCAAAAAAAAAAAAAAAGGTAAGAAGCATTTCTTAATACAAATAAATTACAAAACATCATTTATGTGTTTCCTCTCATTGGTATAGTCATCCAATTCAAAAGCAATTCATTTTGAAACTAATGATTGAAATACTCCAATGTCATGAAAAATAGCTATTATTTTAACAGTGTACTTAAATATAGCAAAGTAGAGTATGATATTGCAATGTGCAGAATCTTGTGCTAAAGGGAATGAGACAATGAGGCCAGGTGTCATCTGCTATGCAGTTACTAGACATTTTGGCAACCAGCCATCCCAAGTTTTAGTAACTTACTAAATTAAGACATTTCAAGAAACACTTCTTACCCCTGTAAATTTCCAGATTGCTAGATATAGAAAGATACAATTACATTTGAATATGGGCCTTATTATAGGAATCTGCATTAAATCATTAAAAAGATCAACAGAAAAAATTCACACCAATGAAATTCAGTGGACTGATTTTTCAAAGTTAGAAATAAGAATATCCACTGCTAATGGAAGCCCTGCTCTGTGCAAACATAGTGTGGTATATATTAAACGATCACACATTTGAGGTATTAGCTGGAAAAAAATATATATATACACCTATACATAGACACATCCACAGGATATTCACAAATCTATTGGCCCCAACACCAGCAGATAATCAAATTAAACGAAAAGGAATCACATACCAACAGGAAAAAGTTACGCATAGGGAATTTACAAAAAATATGGTTACATAATCCTTAATATAAGGAGTATGTGTTGAATTAATATTTTGAGGAAAAATGTTTCCATTTATATTAAAGTATTTATTCCACAGTAATGAAACAAAAAAGAAAGCCTGAATTCTAGGAGTGTGCCTGCCAGATTATTAAAGAAATAATGTGCAAGAATTATTAAATTATGTGCAAGAATTCCTTGAAAAGCCTCATTCTATCCACTTTTTCTTTGTCATTGAAAATTAGAATTTAAAAACATTTTGAAAATTACTGCCAGACTACTCCTTTCTTTTCCACTGGCTTATAGAGAAGTTTATGGATTTTTAACTAGGCAGTAGTCCAATATGACCAACAGACAAGGTTTTCAGCTATTTAAGGGAAAATTAAAATTCAGATTTATTGTTCATTTTCATTAGTTTTTCTGTTTGGATAAGAAAAAAAAATTATGGACTTTCAGTTTGCTTCACTCAGTATGAAGATGGATAGTAGTATGGGTAGTACAGAACTGAAGCTTCACGTGGGGAAGCTAAATGGACAGATTCTCCTATTTTAACCACTTGGTCCTTTGATATAAAACTTGCTTAATTGGAAAGATGGCTCATTTGGTCCTCAGGCTAACATCAAGAAATATTTCACTGCCTTAACATAGGTGAGAGATTTATTTTTTAATGCACTCTATTGGAATACACTAAGTAATATTAGCATTTCACAGGTGTTGAATAGCTATTATTTTTTTAAATTATGAATAAAAGGGAAAAAGGGAAACCAAAAGCTTAATCATTTCAGTAAATATTTTACATCTAGTTTAAATGAAGATTTAATAGGAAGAAAATTAAGCATTAAAGTGCAATTAAAGTGAAGAGCTGGCATTCCACATTCCTGTTCCTGTGAACACCTGAGCTGACAGAAAAGCAGAGCATTTTAATGCATTGGCATATATATGCCTTAAGGAATTTACTTCACCAAATCTTTGTAAATCATAAAGAAGCATGTAATGATTATGAAACAGTTATTTAAGAATTCAAATGTAATCTGTTCCCAAAATACATTATTTTCACTTATTAGATGGATTATAACTTGACATTTCTCATTGTTGAGAACTCAGTTTTCTTATTTGATCAAAATTCTGAAACTTACAAATGACCAAATGACTAGCACCAGTCTATTTGCGAACTAAGGAATCAAAAGAAGGAGAAAAGGTACTATTTCTTTTCTCCACAAACCCTCTCAAGGACAATAATGTTTGTGTGTATGTATAAAAAGAGATAAAAATGTAAAGCATTAATAAATATAACTGCCAAACTGTTAAAATACCAGTTACGGAAACTAGTAAAACAAAACTCAAAAGATTGAGAATTTATAGGTGATGATTAAAATGATCCAGTGATATTGCAAAGCTCATGTAGCTAAAAATAAGATGGCAAAATATTGAGATTTTTATTTAAAAAGAATAGTAAACATGAATATCTTACATCTTAAGATACCTAAAGTCTTCTTACTTGGTAAATTTAACCCAGAATTCTAAGATACTTGTTGAGCCTTTACACCATGATATCAGTGATACTAAAGACTCAATCTTTACTTACATACTTTATGTGGCTTACATGGTCAGGTACTCAGTCATTTTCCAGTTGTTTGAAAATTTTATCAATCACATTTCCCCTAACATTTTATGAAATGTAACGGAATGCAGCAATGCAAATTAAATATAATACTGTGCAAAAGCCATGTATGACTTTATGATATATATTTTATATCACTTAACTTGGTAACTTTACCTGTCCCCTTAAAGCTGGAATTAAGGAAAAAAGAATCTAGTCAACAAGAAGGTAAGTTCACATAATTATCAACTATAATAGTGTAAATTTACCATTAAAACTGAAAAAATAGTTGAAATTTCTCATTTAAATTTTTATAAATTTTCTGATACATATGAACTTTCAAAATTAATTAGAATGCTATGATCTTTTTTAAAAAAACTTATATTCTACACATTTGAGAGAATATTTAAAGTTGTATTTTTTTTTAAAGGTCACATTTCTAAAAGCAAGTTGGTTAAGTTGTCCAGTTTTCCTAGTACAGTGGTGTGTTTAGTTTAACCTACTAATTCAATCAGGCATTTCTACTGATTCACCTGGAAAAGGGGATACAAGAACATTTTTAAGAGATCATGTCAGCAGTCTTATTCAGCAGATGCCATAAATTAACTACATTCAGAAAAAAATTTTTAAACAAAAAAGCAAAGCCACTCTATCTAGCATTTTCTTGCTCACAAAAAAACTACCAAAGATATGTTCATGTTCCATTAACTGAGTATGAAGCAAAATCATTAAAAAATTACAACTGTTAAACAAAGAAGACTAGAAATCAAAACTTTTGTATCTAATATACAGGCACCCAAAACTTCAATTTCCAGCTGTTTTTTCCTAATTTTATGTGGATTTAGTTATTACAAGGAGCTTATTCCTATAGGATTACTTGAATTTTTCAATGGTGAGTAGATTTTAGCTCAGAATTTTTTAAAGATGACTTGCTTTAAATCACTATTATACCTGCTTACTATTGCATGTGGCCAGATACTGTAATCTAATTATATGTTTAAAAGTTGGCAATAGGGTTAAAAGGCACAAAGCTATATTTTAGTAATAATTTTCTTATTTGTAAAAGAACCCATATATTTTTGGATCCTGCTTAAATGATTACTTAGAAATTGCAAATTTCTGTAGGGGAAAAATTAGGTGGGTCCTTTTTGTAAAGAATAAATTTTAGCAGCCTTCAAAGACATATACATGAACATTTGGAGGCCTTTTAATTACTGGAATTGCAAATGGCAGAACTGCACTTTACTGTCGAAAAGACCCTTTTAATTTAATATTCATAGCCATTTCCTCATATTTTCTTTATTAAAATCTATCAGTATAACATTTCATTTCTATGCATGTATATGTATAGCAATTCATAAAACTAAATAGTAAACTGATACTCTACACCAGTTCATTTATCTCAATATATATATTGGAATATAATGGCAATATGAAAAATATCAATTCCCTCTAAGCTGATAATGCTATAAGATTTTACAGAAAGTTAAACAATTTTTTTTCTTTTTGAAAAAGTTTCTTTGTTTAAACTCCACATATTTTGACACCTTAACAAAGAAAATGTAATTGTGTCATATAACATTTATTCCATTAATTTAAACTGAAGTGTCTCATGGAGCTAAACACAAAAGAATTTAAATAAAAAGGCAATAAACTTTATGTTACACAAAATGATCATTCCTTAAATATTTACATGACAAGGGAAAAGATGGAGAATCACTAAAACTAGAAATTGCTACAGGTGTGACAATCCTCTCTCAAGACATTTTTAGTTAGGAATCATGTAAGCTTTGAAATGAAAATAACTGTAGAAGCATAACTAAAATATTAATTTTAGTTTTCAGTTCTTACTATTTAAAGGAGCCAGTAGGTCATTAACAGTCTAAGATTTTGGGAACCAACCACTCAGATAAGTTTTTAATATAAATCTTTGTCTTCATCTCTCATGATGATACTAAACTTACAGAAAAAATAGAGTAAAGGTATAAATTAAAATTCCAGTTCATCCTCCTTTATACAGACTGGTTAGCCGCTCTAATTCTTTGCAGTTGTCCATGCTCAAGGCATCTGCCTTCCTTCGGAGCCGATCATCGCGGTATACTTTTGCTGCATATTGCATATCCGTTTCTGTTAAAAACAAAAATATTTTGCCAATTAAATAATAATTTGCTTCATCTGGTTGCTTAAACTCAGATAATTCTTCATAGAAGCCCTTCAATATATTGCCATTAACTGACTTTCTTTTAAAAAAGAAGAAATCCAAGTACTACTCCTAGTAGCCATTTTAGTGGGGGAGAGGGGTAACTTTTCCTTAATTGAAAACTTTATTTGAAGCCTAGCATGTAAAACAAACACAGAAAAGAAATAAGGATAGAATCTTGTCAATTCAAGTCAGAATCCTTTCCCTCCACTCCTGTCCCCCAATGGTTTAAAAGTCTTGGCCTCTTATCCTAAAAATATCATATGTTATACAATACTGCTAGTGGTTGTTTTTGCTGTGGTCTTTTGTTAAGGTTTCAGATTAATTATTCCAAGACTAAGTATAAAAATTTTCAATCTTGTTCTGAGTTTACTTGAATTAAAAAATATATATATATAATAACATTATTGAAGGAACACAGAGAATGCTTGTTATATAATCATAATATTGGTATTCAGCAAATAAGTATTTCTGAGGCTTCCTTCAGTATATGGATAGCACAATTACTGTAAATATATAGACTACAAAGCAAAATTCAGGAAAGTATCTCTTGCTTTTTCCTGTTATTCTCAGCCATTTCACTGTTTATTAATACTTCTAAAGGGCATGAGCACTTAGAGAAGATGTAACAAAAAAAGAAAAAAGAAATCAGTTACTGTCTGGAAAACAGTGGCCAAAGTAGAAGACATCTGGTTTATATGCATCAGCCAGGACCACATTCAAAATATACTCACAGGTAAGAGTGTATTCCATTTGTAAAGATCTCCAGAAATGATCTTTATTCAATCAGTTGGGCTAGGATTAACAACTCAGTCAATATTACTCTACACCTTTTATTTACAAATAATACACTTGTAAAATCTATTTACAGGTGACTCTTCCCAAAAGAAGTAGAGGGGAAGGGCATGCCTCTAATCCTTGCTTGGGTGAGAGGCAAAGTCATAAAATGTAACCAAAATGTTTGTACCCTCATAATATCCTGAAATAAAAATAAACAATTAAAAAAAAAGTTAGATGAACCAAAGCGCATACTGCTAACCAATGGCAGATTCCAGACTTGGCATGGTGGCTTGCACCTGTAATCCCAGCACTTTGTGGGGCCAAGGTGGTAGGATTGCTTGAGGCCAGGAGTTTGAGACCAATGGCAGAGTCTATATTTCAATCCAAATCTCTAATGCCTAGCCTAATATTCTTTCTATTACTTCAGATTATTGCTTGCATTTTATAAAACACTCACTTTACCAATGCAGACATTACAGAGTGTTATTACTAGAAGTGACTCCACAACAGAAAAACCCTGGCAAAAAAAATATCAACTGGTCAACAATTTTTTGATAACATTAATTTATAAAACAAGATTGTTTCAATCAATGAATGAAACAGTCAATGAATTGATTTGTTTTGAGACAGAGTCTCACTCTCTTGCCTGGGCTAGAGTGCTGTAGTGTCAGCCTCTCTCACAGCAACCTCAAACTCCTGGGCTCAAGCGATCCTCCTGCCTCAGCTTCCCAGGTAGTTGGGACTACAGGCACATGCCACCATGCCCAGCTAATTTTATTTTTCTATTTTTAGTTGTTTGGCTAATTTCTTTCTATATATAGTAGAGATGGGGTCTTGCTCTTGCTCAGGCTGGGCTCAAACTCCTGAGCTCAAGCAATCCTCCCACCTTGGCCTCCAGAGTGCTAGGATTACAGGTGCGAGCCATCACGTCCAGCTCAATGAATTGTTATACTGAGCTCTTTCCTCTATAGATGTAATAAAATTGCTTAATTTTATTCTGAAAAATTTCTAACTATACAAAAGTTAAAAGGGTAGTACAATGAACACCCTAAAACTCTTTACCTTGATTGACCAATTCTTCACATTTTATAAAATTTGCTTTAGCTCTCTCTCTGTCTACAATAAAGGCTGTTGTTACTATTGTGGTTACTTTGCAGAACCATTTGAGAATAAGTTGCAGCCATCATGACTTTTCATTTCAAATTACTTCAGCATGTTTCTCTTAAGAACAAGGGCATTCTCTTATATAACTGCAATATAAATTATCAAATTCAGAAATTTAACAATGATTTTATACCATTATCTAATGTATAGTTCATATTCAAATTTCACCAACTGTTCTAATCATGTCCATTATAGGTGTTCCCCCACCCCTCAAATCCAGTCCAGGATCATACATTGCTTTTAGTTGTCATGACTCTTTAATATCCTTTAGTCTTTTGTCTTTTGTTTCATTGATATTTCTGAATATAAGCAATGTGTTTTATAGATGAATGACTTATTAAAAACAGATTTAAATAGAACTACTGATAGCAACTTTAAAAGACACATATAAATGTGTGCAGTACAGTTGTAGACAACTTGGTGTAGTGGATAGAACATGGGCTGAAACATCCATGAAACCTATTAATACTGATCCTGCTGGCTTGTTAAAAGATTGGACTAGATTATGCCAAGCAAAAACATTTGGTTCATGGTAGGATGCAACAATAAATAATAGTAATTATAATAAATAATATTGAACACTTGCTAGACACTATGCTAAGGGCTTAACATATTATCTGTTATGGTCCATATTGTAATAATAAGATTAACTGAAATTTAGAGAGGTTAAGTAACTTGGTATAAGAAATGTATTATAGTCAGGGTCTTGGGAGGCAGCCGCAGAGTCTATCTACACTTTAACTTTGATATTATACTACGTTCCATAAATATATCTTTTCCACTTTTCTTATTTACATAGTCAACTCCCAATTATTTAAGTTAATAGAAATAAGTATGCATAATCCAAAAAATTATCCATCTTTGGCTGAGGACTAGAATTTGTATTTGAAAGAAGATATATAATGTGCTAGTCATTCATTCTAAACTCAATAAACATGTTTTCCATATATTCATTCCTATGTATTCATTAATCATAACTCAATTGTTAATATATCCATCAAATATTTATTTTTCCTATGATATGCCAAGGAATATACAAAGGTGCTAGAGGTTGAAAAAATTAAATTAAATAAATAAATAAAATTTGGTGTTTACTACCCTTGATTCCTTTGGCTAATGCAGTTTTTCAACCTCTGGACTGTTGCCATTTTGGGCTGGATTATTCTTCGCAGTGCAGGGCCTGTCCTGTGCACTGTAGGATGCTTAGTGCGTGCCTGGCCTCAACTCATTAGATGCCAGTAGTAACCCCTCCCTATCCCACCCCACCTCATGACAACACACAAAATGTCTCCAGACATTACCAATGTCTCAGGGGTGGTGACTCACTCCCATTTGAAAACCCTAAAACCACTAGTCCAATGTAACCTTCTCCACACTGAGACCAGACTGATTTCACAGACTAAGGGTCAGAAGTCAAAGTCACCTCTCCTCTAACTACCATCATATAGATGAGGAAACCAAGGCCAGAAAGGTTAAGAACTCTCTTAGAAGTATATAAAAGTTACATTTTATCAAATTTTCCCTAGCAAATGAGAGATGATAATTGTTCACATTTTCTGAGTATTTTGTATGTGTAAAGCACTTTATTGCCTGATTTATTTTTTACAAGTCCATAAGGTTATTATTGAGAGGACTTTGGAACACAGGGCTTGGATTCTGGAGACAAACTGACTGGTTTGAATCACAGACTACCTCTATAACCTTAGTAATCTTTCTTTGTCTTGGTTTCCTCATGTGTAAAATGGGTATAATAATCTCATAGTGTTCTTATGGAGGGTGTGTATATATATATATATGGTGCTTGGGACAGTAACTGAAGCAGTAGGTGTTATATAAATGATAGCTGTTATCTCCTCCTCCCACTCATCATCATCACCCATTTTACACATGAAGAAATAAACTCATAGAGGTTACAGTATTTGGCCTGAATCACTCAGCTGAAAATTTCAGAGCTAGAATTCAACTTTAGTCTGTTTAATTCAAAGTGAATCTTCCTAACACTACGCTACATGGTCTACGTTATTATTTATAACAACAATCACAAAAACAAGAACCACAACAATACTCAGTTCACATGCATGATCTACAGCAGGTCATATGGTCAATCTTTTTATATTGCGACTGTTTCTTAAATTAAGAAAACTGAGGCTGGAAAAGGTTAAGAGAATTAAATGTTCCCAAAGGCTTCTCTGTGTATTAAGTAAATAAAAAAAAAAGGAAACATCATGTCAATAAAACTCATTGTATATTAAGTGATAAATGTTAAGTCTAAGTTAATGAAGAGTTTCAAACTTAACTCTTTGAAACAGGATGCATCTTAAAACTGATGACATAGTTTATTTGCCAGGATTTTTTTTCTTTCTTAGTAGTATATAAAATAATGATGTATCTTACAATAGCCATCTTAAATACAATGAAATGTGGTATTATTCACTTGTTCAACTATTTATTGGTAACAATATACAAGTACCATTTATTAAGTCCTTACTATGCACCAACTACCGTGTTAGGCCAGATGTGTCTTTAAAACATATTATCTCATTTAAGTATTGAGCTCCAATAACATGCCAGGAAATTCCAGAATATTCCCTGGGTGGGAAAATCTAGAGGAATCAATTCCAAAGACTGTGAATAAGTTTTAAAGTGTTAAATATCTGGCATGCAAAAAAAAAAGAATATTAAATAACTGATAAACTTACTTTGTTGTCTTTCTTTCCAGCAATTATTTCGAACATTAGTCACATAATCTTCTTCCACACTCTTTTCTACCTTCTGTAATAACATTCCTTTATATTCATTTTTAAAGTCCTTGTTGACATAATAAATAACACCCAAATTTTCTGTCTGCATTTTAATGGTTTGCCCTGATCCACTGTAAAAGAGATGCATGATTATTATTTTTTTAATTAAAATTGGACATTCTAACATGCTACTATAAACCAAGCTAACAAAAACCATTAAAAATCATTAAAAAGTTACTGTTGGTAATACAGGTTGAGCATTCTCAATCCAAATGTCTGAAATCCAAAATGCTCCAAAATCTGAAACTTTTTGAGTGTAGACATGATGCCATAAGTAGAAAATTCCATAGCTGACCTCATGTGATAGTTCAGTCAAAGTGCAGTACAGTGTACAGTAACCTTTTAATCAAAATGCAGCATGGCAGGTGAAGACTGCAAGCCTGCCTGGGTTTGTTGCTGCTCTTGTTTAATGGCTGATACAGGAATTCTGGTGATGCTATCTATGCTGCTTAGTTACCCTAAACACATTATTTTTTCACTGTAGTAACAGCATGTCATATTTTCTACTCTTAAGTACTTAGGTGTAAATAAGTGTAATAAAAATGATTGCTTATCAGTAACATATAAATTCAGAGTCAGGAATGATAGTGATGTCAAACCACAGATTTTCCAAATGGGTGGCTGAGATAGTGAGACCTTTGCTTTCTGATGCTTTGATGTGCACAAACTTTGTTTCATGTACAAAATTACTCAAAATATTGTATAAAATTACCTTTAGGTTAGCACATCAAACTTTGTTTCATGTACAAAATTACTCAAAATATTGTATAAAATTACCTTTAGGTTAAGTGTATGAGGTATATATGAAACAAATTTTGTGTTTAGACTGGAGTATTGTCACGAAGATATTTCACATCATATATGTAAATATTCCAATATCCGAAAAAATCTGAAATCCAAACCACTTCTGATACCAAACATTTTGGATAAGTGATACACAACCTGTATTTAATTGCCTAAAAAAGTAACCACACTTTTAATATACTATGTTCTTATAAAGTTCTTTCAATTTTTAGTTAATAAAAGTCTTATTTGGAAGAAATAAGTAATTCTTATTTTTAGACCAATCTGTTTTTAATACTGTAAAATCACTGCCAATATGATTTTATAAAGTTTCCTTCATGTTCATTGTATTACAGAATTGTCTAGAATAGATGCTGTTATTACATTCCCTTTATGTCTTGAACTCTTATATAAAGTATACAGTAGAAAAATACTTCATTAAAAAATTAATATTTGCCTTCATTTAATCAATTTTTTACAAAAGTCATTTTCCCCTTAATGACACAAATCTATGTAAGATCAATCACTGCTTCTTGTCTTTAAAGTATTTTTTATCTTTAATGTCAGCAAATTATCAACCACATTAGACTGCTATCAAGTTTGAACACAACACTTCTGTCCTTATCCACAAATGGACAGAAATGTAAACTAACAATGTAATACAAATTTATCATGTAAAGTAACTATTTTAAAAATTAGAAATTTTTAAATCTGGTACACTTGTAGTAATACGTTTAGCACTTACAAGTTGAAAAGAGCACAAGCCCTTTAAAAGAAGCCAGATAGGAAACAGCAAGAATTCATTTTTGTAAAACTTCACTTAGCTACTTACGATCTGGGATATAAGGAATAAGGAGGATTAGAGACCATCATTTGGCTTAATAATGACACGAGGATCAATACAATAATGGGCATCAGCTGGATAAACACAGAAAAACCTCCCTATAAAAAATCATCAAAGAATAACAGATTGTAATATAACTGTAGTTGTCAATAATCCAAGTTATCATACATTTTTAGAGGCAGAAAGGACATTTGAGAACATCTAGTTCAGTGCTTTCAAGTCAGCCTAATCATACCAACTTCCTAAGGTAATTCTTAACAATATAACTTGCCAGGCACATCACCAGGAGATTCTGATTTCAAAAGCACTGACAAAACTTGATCTCATTTACAGATGAGGAAGACCTCCTCTCTCACTCTCTCTCTCTCACACACACACATAGAGACTCTACCAATATGTGCAGGTTGAAAACTATTTTTACCTTGGATTTGAGGGTAGAAGATGGGAGCTGATGAGTGGCAGAGCTGGGGCCCAGGCCTTTTAATTCTAGTCTAGTGCTCTTTCCATTTACCTTTCCACTTCATGTAATTTAACTGCTATAGGCAATTAGGTATAACTGCATTAGAACAAGGCAAGTTACCTCCAATTTAAGTTTTTCAGCATTAACTAATTCTAAATTCTTAGGGACCAACATTAACAAGTTACCTTCAAAACATGCACAGTGCAGGTGTACCTTCATAAGAATCACAGAAAATCAAATCTGTGGGGTTACACTGCCCAACCGCCTCCCACCCTGACCTCTACTCCTGTTCCTACATTATTCCTAAGGGATTTTCTAGTCTCTATTGAACACCTTTGTAAGAGAAAACTCATTATTTCCTAAAACAATCTGCCCTATTTTAAGACAACTTTAATTGCTTTTCCTGAGCTGAAATTTGCCATCTTTTGATTTCTCATCATATCACAAACATACATCTCCTCTTTCTTCTTCTCTTTCATGTCCACTATGTCGATGTTGATGTTGATGGCTATAACCAGCTCGTCCATTTGAAAATGAATGTACAGTACCTAAAAAATTAAAAGCAAGGTTAAATTAGGGAGAGCAATGATGATCAGAAAAATATTTTCCTTTACATTTTTCTTTAACTTGTAAAACGTTACTAAAATAATGCATGTTTATTTTGAGAAGTATATGCTTATTGTCCTCTCCTCTTGTGAGTGAATGGTAGACAGAAACAAGAATGATTCTTCCCAGACTCCACCTCCTTTAAAATAAGGCAGAAGTTGCTTCTTTATGAAAACTTGAGTAAGAGTTTCTCTACATACAGACTTTTGTTGTGGTTGGTTGTTTTTACAAACCTTGGATCATTATTCTGAAACTCTGCTTTCTACATTTATCAATGGATCACAATCATCTCTAGAAATTAAAAGATAGCATTCTAATTCATTTTATAAAAAACAGTTATACAATATATCATGGGACAGGTGGACCACAATTTATTCAAACAATCTCTTGCTGTTGGGCATTCAAGTTGTTTCCAAATAAGGTGACCAATCAGAAATGGCTACCACTGACAAAGTAAACTACATTACAACTAGCAAAATAACTGCAAATCAACTACTGGAAGAAAATTCACTATCGCCTGAAAGAGTTCTGATTGTTCCTAGAATACTTTCTGCCAAAATTACTAGTTTTAATAATTTTTCTGCAAGAGGTAATTATGTATTCTAACATGTTAAAACACAGGTTGTATTTTCAGTCATGAATTTACATTTATAGATCCTCTTTAAGGATGTTTTGCAAGATGTCCTATCAATGACCACAGCCTTTCTCAATAATATTCAGAGAAGGCTACCAGGCCAGCTTGTATTGCTACATTCATAATAATTCTGCTAATCTTGAATGGGATGTTTAATTCAGCACCCGAAGTAGTAAATGCTGTGAATGCCTAGAATAAGACTGGAGCTGTGATTTTAAATACCTTAGTGGAGCTATGCTCAAAGAAAATTAATTTCCACCCAAAAAAACTGACAGTACAGTAAGTCCTCACTTCATGTCACTGATAGGTTCTTGGAAACTGCAACATTAAGCAAAACAATGTACTGTATGCCGTAGGAACTTAACTCTTGTTTACGTCAATTAGCCTATCGTAAAATGGGTTTGCTATAAAGCACATTATGCTTAAAGCTGCAGTTTCCAAGGACCTAATAATAATGTCAAATGTAACTAGTGTTCAGTATTACTTATGTTGGTTCTATAAAATCTGTTCATTTAGTAGCATCAACTTACTGTGATAGTCTAATTCAAGTGATTATTTTTATCTTAATGTAATTAAAAAAAAACCCAAACGTTTACTTTGTGTACAGCCTGTGAGTCAGACTTTTTACTATTTAAATGAAAATACAGATGAAGACCTCCACAAACATCCAAATTAGTAATCTATAATGTTACTAAAAAAAATTTACAAAGATTTCCAGAGAAGCAATGTCCAATAGTCATCCAGGATATAGAGTACCTTCCATAATTGTAATGGCACTTAACCTAAGACACTGCCACTAAATTTCCTGTTTTCTTTCCTTTTCCTTAGCTTTATATAAAATACAGAATATCTACACTCTTCTTTTTTTTTTTTTTTTTTTTTTTTGAGACAGAGTCTCACTCTGTTGCCTGGGCTAGAGTGCCATGGTGTCATCACAGCTCACTGCAACCTCCAACTCCTAGGCTCAGGTGATCCCGTTGCCTCAGCTTCCTGAGTAGCTGGGACTACGGGTGCATGTGACAACATCTGGCTAATTTTTCCATTTTTAGTAGAGACAGGGGCTCACTCTTGCTCAGGCTGGTCTTGAACTCCTGAGCTCAAGCAAGCCTCCTGTCTCGGCCTCCCAGAGTGCTAGAATTACAGGTGTGAGCCACTGCACCCAATCTACACTCTTCATTTTTTAATTAAAATATATTCTAGGGGAAAGGTAGGCTATAATAAAAGTAATAACCCTAACATTTTTCTCCTACCTTCATGAAAAACCATCACAGGATCATAACACCATAAGAAATGTAGAGGAGAAGGAAGATATATCTCTAAATAGTATAATTGGAGGTAAGGATCTCTAGTTTTTTAAAATATAATATACGTAATTAGCATGAAAGTACCTGAAGGAAATCCCCCACCAAAAAATATATTAAACAAGTCTTCTGGAGTTATATCAGCTTCACAACCTCTATGGAAATTAAATCTGCCATTGTTTTGGTGATTACAAGCTTGTTCTTCACTGCCTGTGAGATCATACTGTTTTCGTTTTTCTGGATTGCTTAAAACAGCATAAGCGTTTCCAATCTCTGCAAAAGTAATGAGTAAAAGTTGGTAAGCAAAGTTTTTATATTATAAAAGATTGTCCTATATAAAAACTGTCATGTTAAAAAAAAAACTACTTGAAACTAATCAAGAAAATTGTAAAAGAAAAATAATTTTAAAGCTATTATACATTCTTACAATTATACATATTGCTATGTCTCAAGATAACTTTTTACACCAGACAGGCGAGTCTCCTACTGCCTTGGAAACAGGAATGTCCATCTTTCCTTTCTTTAGTATTGTGCTTCATTCCGTAAAATACTACTTCTTCCTTTTTAAGTACCCTAAGCTAGCCATTTATCAAGGTCATTCAAACCAATAATAACGGCAGTAGCTACCATTTATCGAGTATTTATTAACTGCCAGGCTATGCTCAGCACCTTATTTATTACATTATCCATAATCCTCACTTTACAGATGAGAACCCTGAAAATGGAAAAAGTTAAGTAACTTGTTCAATGTCAAATTTTTCTTAGCACAATGAGTATACTCTCACTACTCTATGTAATCTATATCATACGCCTCTTTTTGCACACTAGTGCCCAATGTGAACTATTCTTTCATTCTATTCCTTTACAAATTTTCCCCTTAAAACAGTAAACTCCATGAAAGTGGGGACTATGTCTATGTATTCACTGCAGTATCCCCAGGGTTCAGCATAAAGTCTGAATTAGTTTTTAAATAAATAATCTGCAGTTTTACTATCTCATTTTGCTACTTTCATTATATTTATTTATAAATAAAAATTCTATTTCCCATCTCATAGTCCCATGTCCAAAAAGAGGCAATAGTACACTGGCTACCAGAAAGTCGTCTTGAAGCAATTTATGAAAGCGGTAGCGCTTTGAATCTAAAAGCAGGAACCACTCTATTGCATTGATACTTCTAATAATCATTTCATAAATTCATCTTGTTTCTTAATCTAGATTACACGCCTTTTGCAATACAGGATATTTTCATTCTTTTTAGATACTGAAAAATTCTGATAGCTTGTTAATGATATTTGGGTTTATTCCATGAAGGGTATTGGTCTATAGTTTCCTCCCTCCCTCCCTCTCTTCCTTCCTCCCTTTCTTTCTCTTCCTTCCTCCCTCCCTTCCCTCCTTTTTCTTCCTTCCCTTCCCTCCTTCCTTTCCCTCCTTTCTTTCCTTTCTTTTTCTTTCATTTTTTCTTTTCCTTCCTTTCTTTTTCTTTTGTAGTGTCTTTGATAGGTTTGATAGCAAGATAAAACTTATTTCATAAAATGAATCAGAAAATGTTTCCTCCTCTTGTATTTTCTGGAAAAGATTATGAAGAATTGGTTTTAATTCTTCCTTAAAAGTTTGGTAGAATTCTCCAGTAAGAGTATCTGAGCCTAGAGATTTCTTCTTTGGGAGTTTTATAATCACAAATTTAATTTACTGAACAGCTGTTAGTCCATTTTGTTTTGCTACAGAAGAACACCTGAGAGTGAGTAATTTATAAAAAAAAAAAAAAAAGAAGTTTATTTTTATTTAGCTCATGGTTTTTCAGGCTGACAAGTTCAAGGACATGGCCTTGGCTTCTGGTGAGGGCTTTCATGCTGTGTCTCCACACAGTGGAGAAGATTAAGGGGGAAGGAGACCTGCAAAGAAGGGAAAACCTGAGGAGCATCCTGGCTTTGTAACAACTTACTCTTTCAGGACTAGTCCATTCCCTAGAGAACTAACCCAGTCTCCCAAGAGCAAGAGCTCACTCACCAGGCCATTCATGAGGGATCTGCCCTCATAACCCAAACACCTCTCACTAGGCCTCACCTCCCAACACTGCCACATTGGGGATCAAATTTCAACATGAGTTTTGGTAGGAACAAACTAACCATTGCAAGTTCCATAGGGCTATTCACATTATCTATTTCAGAATGAGTTGTGATTATTTGTATTTTTCAAAGAATTGGTCCATCTTATCTAACTTGTAAATTTACATGTGTGGAAATGTTCACAGTATTCTCTTATTATCCTTCTGATGTTTGCAGCGTCTATAAGTGATATCTTTGTTTCTGATACCATTTTTTCTGATAAGTCATTTCTATCTTTCTCTCGGTTATTTTTCAACTTTATTGATCTTTTCAAAGAACCAGCTCTTTGTTTCATTGATTTTCACTATTTTTCCTGTTTTTAATTTTATTGATTTCCACTCTTTATTTTGCTTGTTTTTGTGTTGATTTTGCTCTTCTTTTTCTGGGTTTGTGAAATAAAAGCTTAGATAACTGATTTGAGACTCTTACACTTTTTTAACAAATGTATTTAGTGTTTTGTTTCCTCTCAGCATTGCTTTATCTGGTCCTGTCAAATTTTGACATGTTGTATTTTCATTTTTATTCAGTTCAATGTACGTTTAAAAATTTCTTTAGAGACTTCCCCTTTGACCCACAGATTATTCAGAAGTATGTTGTTCAGCTTCCAAGTGATTGGACATTTTCCTATTATCTGTTACTGATTTCCACTTTGATCCACTGTGGTCAGAGAACACACTTGTGTGATTTCAGAATTTTATATTAGTGGAGGTTTATTTTATGACTCAGGATATGGCCTCAGTGTGTGTTCTGTGGGCACTTAAAAATTTTTTAGTCTGCTGTTGCTGGGTGGCATGTTGTATAAATGTTGATTAGACCTTTTGGGGTGACGGTGGTATTCGGTTCTTGCTGATTTTCTGTCTAATTGTTCCATCCATTGTTGAGACATAAGTATTGGAGTTTCCAACTATAACTGTGAATTTGTCTATTTCTCCTTTCAGTTATATCAGTTTTTGCTTTACGCATTTTGCAGCTGTCTTTTGGTGCACACCCTCACTTACACTGTTGTGTCTTCTTGGAGCATTGACCCTTTTATTGCAATATAATGTACCTCTCGGGTAATGTTTTTACTCTACAGTCTACTTTATCTAATATAAATATAGCAACTCCTGCTTTGATTAATGTTTGCATGATATATCTTTTCTAATGTCTTTACTTTCACATTGTCTATACTGTTATAAATAATGTAATTTTCTTATAAAAAATACAGTGAAATAATTTTTTTAATTCACTCTGCAAATCTGCCTTTTAATTGGTATATTTAGATCATTTACATTTAATGTAATTATTGGGAAGTGAAGGTTTAAGTCTGCCATTTTATTTTGTTTTTTGTTCTCCTTGTTTTTCATTTGTTTTCTTTTTTCTGACTTCCTGTGAGTTAGTTACCTAAACATTGTTTAGAATTCCATTTTGATTTATCTATAGTATTTTCTGAGTGTATGTCTTTGTACAGCTTTTTAGGGGTAGCTCTAGGCATTATATATATTATATATACATAACTTAATACATCCTCTGTTGTCATCATTTTACTAATTTGAGTAAAGTGCAAACTTTACTTCTTTCACTTCCCTTTATCCTCCCCATTTATAATATAATTGCCTAGTATATTTTCTCTACACACATTTAGAACTATATCAATGTTGTAATTTTTGCTTCAAATGTCAAACATAATTTAGAAACTCGAGAGTAGAAGAAAAGTATATTGTATTTACCCATGTGTTTTAGTCCATTTGGATGCTATAACAAAATACCATGAACTGGATAATTTACAAATAAATCTATTTCTCAGAGTCCTGGATCAAGGCACCAGCAGATTCCGTGTCTGGAGAGGGCCTGTTTTCTGGTTCACAAATGATGCCTTGTAGCTGTCTCCTCACATGCTAGAATCACTCCCAAAGGCCCAAGCTCTTAAAATCATCACATTTGTGATTATGTTTTAACATGTGAATTTGGGGGAGACACAAACAAAACCAAAGCAGCATGTTCTTTCTCTCATCCTGGTATTTCAAGATTCTTTCTTATATTGTTTCCTTTTGTTTAGAGACTTTCTTCCATCTATTCTTTTAAAGTAGATCTGCTAATGACAAATTCTCTTAATTTGTTTTGCTGAGTATAGGATTCTAGGTTGACAGTTGCTTTTTTTTTTTAGCACTTGAAAAATGTGTCACTGCCTTCTGGCCTGTATGGTTTTTGATGTGAAATTTGCTGTTATTCCAATTGCTTTTCCCTTATAGGTAAGGCCTCATTTCTTTTCTGCTGACTTCAAGACTTTTTTGTCTTTAGTTTTCAAAAGTTTGATTATGATATGTTTTGATGTTGATTTATTTGGTCTTATCTGTTTAGGGTTCATTCAACTTCTTGAATCTATGGGCTTATATCTTTTGCCAAATGTGGATAGTTTTAAACCTTTAAGCTTTTGAGTATTTTTCAGCTCTGCCCTCTTTCTCCCCTTCTTCCAGGACACCATGACCTGAATATTAGATCTTTTGTTATAGTTCCACCTGTCTCAGAAGCTATGTTCTTTTTATTATTCAGTCCATTTTATTTGTGTTCAGATTAGATCACATTTACTTTCTTATTTTCTAGCTCACTGATTCTTTCTCTAATCTGTCTATTCTGCTGTTTATTCTATTCATTGACAGTTTTTGTTTTTTTATTTTTGAGTTGTAAAATTCATTTGGTTCTTTATATCTTTTATTTCTTTGCTCAGATTTTGTTTCTTTGCTGAGATTGTTATTATTTTATTTGTTTTAAGCATATTGTAATTTTCCTTAAAACATTTATATGCTGGCAGCATTTATATGCTGGCTAATCTTTACTAGCCAATTCTAACTTTTCTATCATCTTCCTGTGAATGTCATTGATTTGCATTTTTTATTCAGTTTGAAATCTTCCTGGTTCTTGGACTGACAAGCAATTTTCAATTGAAATTTGGTAATTTGGGGAATTAGCACATGAGACTCTGGATTTTATTTAATTCTTCTGTTTCAAATGTCTTCCTCTGACACCACTTCAACAGGGTGGAGGGAACACCCTCTCATCTCCCAACCAACTCAAAGATTTTTAATAAGCATTAAATGTAAATATGGAATGAAAAACTATAAAATGGTTGTCAAATGTTAGGCATTACTATATTGCAAAAGTTCGATGTGAAATCTTCTCCTGTTTAGTAATTATAAATTCTTTGGGGAAGAGGATATCTCATATTTTCTCACTGTATTTCTCTGTAAGAATTAGCTCAAATGGTAAAACTAAATTCTTTGTTCTTAGAGATACATTCTAGATGTTAATATTGACTACCAGACCTAACACAAAAACAGCATCTGATCCACTATTTAACAAGCAAACACATTACAGCTAATCATGTGTATGTAAATAGGCACAAGTACTATTCAAATAGTCTCTGAAATACTTGGAAGTCTTTGAAGGTAATGTAGACTGGGTATGTTTTGAAGACAGAGATGTCAGAGAAAAGGAAAGGGATCCATTTCATTGAAATTTTTAAAAAAATATGTTTACATATATTGTGCAAGTCACTCTGTAAATAAAATATTCCCTCCTTGGGAAACTGACAGTCCTACCTGGAAAGACAAAACAGCCACGTGAGTTCGTGTAGTCAACTCTTCTTAAAAGCAATCTTTTTTATTTTTAAAGCTTTACAAAACACAAATGAAAACATCTCTTCTATTTAATTTAATTCCCTAAACTAATTACCTCTTCTTTTTCTATTCTTGGAGAAAATAAAAAGCAAGTGGTTTTATTTTCTATAAAAAGTATTTCAGTAATTATACAGCAGTCAATCTATACTTTAGCTTTTATATAAAAGACAAAAGTATTGTCTTTGCCTAGAGATAAACAGCTTACTTTTCCAAAAAGAGAAGTTAAGATTGATTGGATTAAAAATAAAATGATTCAGAGGTAATGAAAAGATCCTGTGTGGTAAATGAATGAAACTTGTCATTGCCATGTGATGACACTAGCTGTAATACTTTCTAATTAACTACCACTGCTCACCAAGCATCTGTGGATTACAACTTTGGTTTTCTATGTAGTTTCTACTCAATGAAAAATGGGCTCACAACCAACTCCCTATTTTGATCCTCTTTGGGACTAATAAATTGGCATTCTGATTTGCAGATGAACTCCTGTGTATTGAATGATGCGAGCCTCTGCCCTAGAGAGGCATCACCTCCCAGCATGCTGGCAAGTATTAAGTTTCTAGTTTTGCAAAGCAGAGCATTAACCTCTGAGATGTACCATGCCACGGTTCATCCACCTTTGTAAAACCCTTCTGAGTGTCTAGCTGGCTTCACAGACGTGGAAGAATAAAGCACTTTAACGTTCCTAACATTAATAAGGAATTAACACTGAAATCACCTAGCAGATCACAAACATGTAAACAACCCACTGCCAAAATATTTTTAAAACATACAAAATTTTAAATTAAATGCTTTTCACTCATAATGTAGAACTTATAACTTTTGAGTGAATGTGTGCTAATAAGCTATTTAAAGATTTCAGTTACTTTCTTTAGTAACTGTGACTGCATAAATGAAAAGCATTTTGTATCTATGAATGCTTAAAATTCATTGTGGAAACTAGGCTCCAACAATAAAACAAATTCAACAAATATTTATTCTATTTGAAAATTTCATCAAAATGTCCCAACTTTCTGTACTATTGAATTAGAAATTAATGTACATGCAGTTATCTGTGTTGTTTTTACTCATGAAACTTTATTTTTGTTTAATAAAGGTGTGTATTTGGAGGACAGAATATAAGGGCACTATTTTCTGTACATATTCCTCAGGTAATGAATTGACAGAAATGTGATTTGTAAGTTAGCGATTTTGAATACTGTAACTTTCTCTGGAGTTTCAACATGCCACTTTCACTTTAAGGAAATGAAGTGAGACGCTCTCTCTGTCACAGTATTTTACTTTCACCAGCACTACTTTGGCAGCTACTTTTACTGAAACACATTATTAATTTCCAAATGTATTTTTCTTGGTGAATTCTTTCAAGAAATAAAACTGTTTTGGAAATAATCTAAACAGTACTTTTATGAAGGATCAATTGAATCTTCTATCTTTTAGGAACATTTTAAAAATGAGTATTCTTATTATTCTAAGACCGTAGCACTTTACTGTAAACATTATACACTGGCTCTATGAATGCCAAATTCACAAGAAAGAACAATCACAAATTTAAGCATTTTACTATGAATTAGAAATTATTACGAACTGTATTTAACAAAATATGAAATTACAAAATCAGTTCTCTGACATTTACTTACTAAATTGGCAAAAAACTGAAAGAAGACTGAAAAAGAAAAAAAGAAAATAAAAAATGAATAGTAGGCAACAAGAAAGAAACTCATTTTTAAAAAGAAAAAAAAATCACATTAGTTAGAAATACATATAAAAAATGCAACAACTGGCACTTTGTGAGTCTGAGGCAGAAGGACTGCTTGAGGTCTAGAGTTCAAGACCAGCCTAGGCAACACAGTGAGACCCTGTCTCTAAAAACATAAAAAATAAAAATGCAAACACTGGCCAGGTTTAATAGAAATATAGGAACATTGGGGAGATAAGAATACTGGGAAGATAGCTATTCTAATATCCTAATTCTAGACAGTCTTTTGTACCTTAAAAACTCACAAAAACTGTATTTTGGTTTTAGTTCACTTAGAACCAGATGGTAATATGCTAGAAGCTCATACATAATCTTCACCCTACTTGTTTTTGGTAAACTAGAAAGCATGCATGGGTACCTAGAAAAGTTACTTAGGACTATGTCAACACTGGAATGTTGCTTTTGTGAAGCCAGACCACATTTGTTTGGCTCTGGGTGTAACGAGTTAATACTGAAGTTTTAAAGGATTTTGCAGACCCTTGCTTGTGCTGGTCTCTAAATGTACCAGTCCAAAAGCAGAATTTAATATGCTGAAACACTCAAAAGTGAATTCTAAAAAGAGCTTAGTAAAATTGCTTTAAAAGATTTACTTTACTTTTAAAAGCATCTGTTGCTCCAGGTGCATGGTTTTTGTCTGGATGAAACTTCAAAGCAAGCTTTCTATAAGCTTTTTTCAAATCTTCATCACCAGCATCTTTCGTAACTCCAAGTACTTCATAGTAATTTTTACATTTGTTTATGCTGTGAACAAGAGAATGTGTTATAATGTAAATTTCAAGGAAGAAGGTCATGTAATATCTCTACTTTTTAATTTATTAGAAAAGTACACAGAACTATCTATTTGTGGATTGTTTTCTCCAAACTAATCATAGCTTATCCCTTTAACGGTCAGTTTGCTTCATTCTCTGACCCTAGAATTCCTGACCCTAGGTCAGGAATGACCATAGGTCATTCCCCCAACTTCTTCCCAAGTCTGAGAAGAGTAAGCCATGAGAATGTCCTTAGTGCAGTTTCTCACTACAGAGAAGTAAAGTAAAGCAAAGGCCATAATAATTGTGGATGAAGAACAGCGTATACACTGTAACTAAAATGAGAAGAACAATTTTTTTAGTACTCTTATATGGATAATAATACCCAATAAAATGTAAATGCTATGTAAATAGTTGTTATACTCTATTTTTTAATTTGTGCTATTTTTTATTATTATATTATTTTTTTCCCAAATATTTTCAATCTGTGGTTGGTTTAACCCATGGATGCAGATTTGTAGACATGGAGGGCCAACTGTATTCTCTTACCTTTCTAAAATATGAAGAATTCTGTTCCAAACTATATTTGGTCCCAAAGTTTTCACATAAAGAACTGTAGAATTTTATTATGCTGATTATTTTATACAAATTATTTTATTTACTCTTGTTTGGGGGGATACTAGTCCAATTTCAACAATGAGGAAACCAAAGCTTTGAGTGGTTAATTGCCTAATACATAACCAAGTAACAGAGGGACATAAGGATTTATTTCTTCAACAAAAATTCACTAACCATCTACTTTCTGTTAGGTACAATTTCAGATGCTACAATGGTAAATAAAACAGTCAAAAATCCCTAATCATATTAAATTTACAATTCGGAGAGGGACAAACAATAAACAAATATATAAGCTAAATATAAACTACATCAAATGGTGATAAGTATATGGAGAAAAATAGGGTAGCAAAGAGAAACAGAGAATGGAGAGGTAGGTCTGCTATTTTAAATAGCGTAATAATACAAGGCCTCGAAAAGTGAGGATTCAAATCTCTGTTTGTCTGACTTGAAAATGTTACTGTCTCAGAACCAGAATAAAGAAGAAAAGGAGCCTTTTCAGACTCCAGAGTGACCATCATCTTCCTTCCTATTTCCTTCTTATAATCATTAAGCAGACTATCTTCTCTCCTAAATATTTACAAATGCTTTTGGTGCTCAGAACCCTACTTCTCTGACTCTCTTCTTGCTTAGATAGTTTCTATAACTTCTTCAGACCTCAGCTTAGCTCTTCTGTTTCTCAAGAATCCAAATGCCTCAGGACTAGGTTTGGGACCTGTCTTAAATGCTCCAAAGCCCTCTGAACTTAGCCTTATCCCAACAATTACTACAATGCACGGAAGTTGCCTGATTATTTGTCTGACTACTCTTCTAGACTACAGGCTCTTTGTTTACCATGTGTTGGGTGGATGGATGGATGGATGGGTGGGTGGGTGGATGGATGGATGGATGGATGACTGTTTCAAATTCAGGGCAGAAATAGTGGGGATCTGAAAAGTCACGTTCAGATCAAAGGTGACAAATGCTATAATGAAAATGTAGCTGGCACCAAAAATCAATGTAGAATAGAAAAGAACCAATTAATAGAAGTAAAACAGATTGTAAGACAAGGAATAGAGCTAAGAATATGGACAGATACTATCTGGATGCAGAAAACAAAAGGTAGTGATATATTAAATACTGAACAATCCTACAGCCATTACTATTTGGTTTGAATGCATAAGATGTTTAATTGTGTTCCAGATTAACCCTATAAAATTTTTTTAATGTATCTTGAGCACAAAAGGCTGGGCAATAGAAAAGTGTAGCCCAAGAGAGGGTTGCTGGTAGGGAAAGCAGGCTAGCTTTTGCAATGCTCTTGATATGGGTCATAAAGCTAAGAATTGCTACAGACAAAAAAATATATAGATGGAAAAAAACAATTATTTCACTAATTCTTAGTTGTCTATCTAGCTCCACTGTATCTTCAATGCACTACATTTTTCATGATTTCTCCTCTAGGAGGAATTCATGAGAAGCCAGCAGTTATAAAGTCATCATCACCAATGGACAGGCTAAAGACTATTTCAAGTAATGCTCCAAATATATTCATGCACCTAATTTTTCACACCCAAATGAAAAACTGGCATTCATGTATCTTTCAGTCATATTGTTGTTCACCATGTTCTTTTTCACCAGCCACATGTATCTGCCACACTTTTCATAGTCTGCTGCTTTTTCAAAGATTCAAACCTTCTCTAGCCTCACCAAAGAATTAAAAAAAAAAAAAAAAGAAAGAAATTAAAAAAAATTTCCTTGTAACCATTACAAGGAAATTATGTACAATAAGGTCAAAATGGTCTGGAGCTCAACAATGGGAAAAGTATGTCTGGTCCAGCCTTTATGTTTTCTTTTATGTGCATAAAAGCATAGTGGGTAGGAGAGGAGGGTCACCCTTCAATTCTCCTCTTTTTATGTGCTATAGTTAATTATTTAGACAGACTCCAAATTTAATTGGTATTTAAGGAAATATTTATTCCTGAGACAAAGGATTATTTTATAAGTTTAGCACAATGATTTTTCTTCTTCTCATTAAAGAAATGGAGCTTAAATCAAATTTTAAATTCAAATCCTCATAATTCAAATGATTTAACAGTTGTACATAAGTGTTCCTAATTGATAAATATAATGATATTCATTTAATGACTTCCCACAGATCTTGTGAATTTTTAAAATACAAAATGGTCTCTTTTTCAATAATATATTAAAAATTTCTTCAAGTAAGATCCATGACAACTTTTTCTCAATTATTTTTCAATATATTTCAACTCAAAGACAACAAACGGTGCCAAGTTTCACGGAATATTAGTTTACCTATTCTTCAGTCTTACTGTGAGCTAGCTCTTACTTATGCAATGGATGCAGTATTATTGCATGGCTTCTCCCTATTGAGCCAAATTGTCACTGAGCAACTAGTTTGTATAATCATGCTAAACAAGATAACATGGCTTTCTGCAGAAAAATCCCCTGTGTACAGGGTGAAAGAAAAAACAAAAGCATACATCATGTGTTTGCTAGTGATCTGTTCCCTCACTAACACTTAGGAAGGCTAATATGATGAGTAAGTGTTATGTGATTTCAGCTAAGTAACTCTTACATAAGGTACTGACCAAAGCATTTTGAATAACTTAGGAATTGTCTTAAAGAAATCTCCAATCAGATTTAGTCCCCAAAAGAAAAAAATTACATTTATTTAATAAAAAAGTTATGATAGAATTATTCACCAGAGAATCAATCTCTAACACAAGTATGCTACTAAGCTAATTCTTCTACCCATAAAGAATTCGTGGTCTTAAACATGGCGGGGCCCTCAATGCTAAATCAGCAATTTTTCCATTCTCTTTGCTTTGCTCCTTTGCAATATTCCATACTTTTACCACTTTCCTCAAGCTTTCACCCTTATCTCTTTTCTTCTAACTCTCAAAACACAATCTCATCTCCAATTTTACTGAGAAAATAAAGGCCAACAGATAAAAATTCCCTCAATGGTTCATGTTTCCATCTGTCCGACTCTGGCCACGTACAAAGTGTATTCACACCCACCACTGTCTTTCATTCTCCCATTCTCAAGGTGTTCTCCTGCCTAAAGCCAGGTCTTCTGGGCTTTGGAAGCCCCTCTCCCCCGCATATATATAAAATCAATGTAAGAACAAAGAGATTTATCATTGTAAACCCTTCCTTATTGCTACCACACCTTGAGCTACTCATCGTTGTCTTTCAAAGGCACTGGTAGAGGAAATGAAGAAATAAAAGATTGCTTAAAATAACCCAGATTTAGGAGATTCGTATTTTCCAAAACTTTCAACCATAGCTTTTCAGTAAACTTCCAAATATATAGGTGATTCTATATTCTTAAAAAAAAAAAAAATCAGAAAAATTATATATACTACAATTTACTTTTACTTTGAGTCCTTCATTTAGAATATGTTCTTCCAACATAAAGTAATTTCTATAAGAAAATACAACTTGTTTTAGGATGTGGTTTCCAGGAATGTGTTTCAGCATGTTGCTTACTCAAAACCTTTCTGAAAAGAATTCAAGAGTAAGTCTCTCTTATTCATTTATTCAACTCTCTCACACAGTATTACAGGTATAAAAGTGTTTAGCAGCATTATTTATATTCTCAAAGTGCTTTACCACCACTCGTGCTAATCAAATACCCTGGGTTATGGCTTTACCATGACTAGGGGATCATCTTTCCTCACTGTGATCACACTACAATAAAATGCTACAATCAACCTTTAGCATTTTAAATAGGTAGGGAAAAAAGCAAAATATACTGACATTTGAAAATTGAGATGTGGTGACAAATCACTTTCCTGAATAAATAAAATTTGTATCTCAAAATATACTTAAATTACAAATTGTGGTAAGTAAAATAGAGAGAATGAAGGAAAAAAGGGTGAGAAAAAAATAAGATTAGAAGAGAAATAGGCTAGGCGCAGTGGCTCACACTTGTAATCCTAGCACTCTGGGAGGCTGAGGCAGGAAGACTGCTTGAGGTCAGGAGCTTGAGACCAGGCTGACCAAGAGCAAGACCCCATCTCTACTAAAAGAAGAAAAAATTAACTGGGTGTGATGGCACGTGCCTATAGTCCTACCTACTCAGGAGGCTGAGGATTGCCTGAGTCCAGGAGTTGGAGGTTACAGTGAGCTATGATGATGCCAGTACACTCCAGCCCAGGCAACAGAGCAAAACTCTGTCTTGAATGAATGAATGAATAAATAAATAAATGAGAAACAGACAAAAAAGGGCCAATGGAGAAAGAGAGATTTAATCTAACTAGTTTTAACTAGTATTCACTTGAGTTAGTTCACTATAATTCACTCTTCATGAGAATTATCTGATTAATCACTGTTCAATTTATCCCTAAACTTTACTTTTCCTAGCAGACTAACATCAGTACAACATCAATACAGCTTCCTTAGGCTTTAGCAGAAAACAAAAGTCTTTTGTATAGTGTTTCATACTCAAAGTTCCATTTTACTTCTTGAAAGCCTTTTATTATTTATAAAATAAAGCCAGATACCCAAAACCCAATTCATAATTTTTCAATTATATATAATTCTTCTGCTTTAAGTAGAAGCATATCATGAGGTGAAACTAAAATAGAGACAGAATAATCAGAATAAGAAAATATTAAAAAGAGAATATTATGGTATCTACATATATATGAAGACAGCCTTAAAAATGAATATAATTTTTAAAAAGCCTTCATTAATATAAATAGAAAATTGAAAATACTGTTGCTATTACATTCAATGTTCCTCTCACATGAAATTCTTCCATTTTCATCTATAGATAAGATAAAACAATTCTTCATCCTCTTTTAATATTGCTATATAAACAATGTCATTGTGTCAAAAATTGAAATTACTTTTCTTTTAAGAAATATTATTTGGAAGCAGTTTTTTTTTTTTTTTTTTTTTGAGACAGAGTCTCGCTTTGTTGCACAGGCTAGAGTGAGTGCCGTAGCATCAGCCTAACTCACAGCAACCTCAAACTCCTGGGCTCAAGCAATCCTCCTGCCTCAGCCTCCCGAGTAGCTGGGACTACAGGCATGCGCCGCCATGCCCGGCTAATTTTTTTCTATATATATTAGTTGGCCAATTAGTTTCTTTCTATCTATAGTAGAGACGAGGTCTCGCTCTTGCTCAGGCTGGTTTCGAACTCCTGACCTCGAGCAATCCGCCCGCCTCAGCCTCCCAGAGTGCTAGGATTACAGGCGTGAGCCACCGGGCCCAGCTGGAAGCAGCTCTTTAACTTAAACTTACTTTAAAAAACAGAATTTTTCTCTGGTCAAGAGCTGTAAAAAAAAAAAATAAATAAAAAAAAAATAAAAAACAGAATTATCCATAGAGTTGGTACCTTATAGAATGATTTTATAAGGAATATGAAGCATAAAACATACTCAGTTCAATTTCTTGAAGTCTGTTCTTCTAACAAGTTATATTTCAAATACTTTTTAAGGTGTTATAACATCTAAAGATTATATTAGAATTAATTATGGCTAAGATATAAATCATACCTGAGAACTCCATCCACTTGGTCTTTGGTATAGCCTTTTCCACCTTCACCACTGCCAGACGTGCTGTCCTTCGTGCAGTTAGGCTTGCTCTGATCACCACTACTGGATGGTTTTCGGCAATGAGGAATATTTCCAGCTGTGCTTCCATTTTTCATAATTACTTCCAATAGTGCTGTAGAGAGATAAAGTATACTGTCCTTGTTTATATTAGGGCACATACACAAGATCTTGACAAGTTATAAAGCAAATTATCAATTGTGTTCTCGAAAAAGATTCACCATGGGGTCTTTTTAAATAGCAAGCAATAATGTACTTAACTGTTTATAGAACACTACTCATCATGAAGTAGAATGTTAAGAAATTTAAAGATAATAACTTGAAATTATTAACATTTGATTATTAATGACACACTTTTGTTTGTATCATGTGAAACTGTAGAATACCAAAGAAAATGAGACAGTCTTTAAAGCAGACAATAAGATCATCCACAAATAAACAGAAATTAGACCTATTTCTCCAAAGCAACAATGGGAGCCAAAGACACTGGAATATTATCTTCAAAATGCTCTGAAAAGAATAAGTGTTAAGGTCTGCACTAATTTTCCAGGAAGTGCACAAGATAAAAATATTTTCAAATAGATAAACTGAGAAAATTTATCATTAGAAGACTTTAACTAGAGTATACTGTAATAAATATATTTGGGGCAGAAGGAAAATGATTATAGATAGCCTGAGATGCAAAACGGAATGGCGAGCAAATACTGTAGTGAATGTGTGAGTAAATTTGAACATTCAGTGTATAAAACAACAGTAAATAGATCTAGGATTTGCTTTAAAATAATCTGGGGAAGAAAGGCATAAAAGTGGGGGTAGAAAGAGCGTATGAATAAGGTTGGCCAGGCATGCACACAATGGTTAAAGATGGGGGTGACAGGGGTTCATTATACTATTTTCTTTCCCTTAATGTATGCTGGAAACTTTCCATAATAAAAATTAAAACTAAATATAAAAAAAATTAACAGAACTAAATGGAAAAAACAGAAATCTGCCATCATCCACATTTCACTCAGTAACTGACAGAAAGTAAATTTTAAAAAATCATTAAGGATACAGATGACTTAAACATCTAATTTATCAAGCTTTATCTAAGAGTTATAACATTATTCCCAAGTGGTCAATATTCATTTTTTACAGGCCCACATTATAGCTAGGCTATAAAGTTATCTTCTTCAAATCTCAAAGAATTAGTATCATATGTACTAGTATTAGTATCTATGAACACAACACAATTAAATGAGAAATCAATTACAAAAAATGTAACTAAAAAAAATCACAAATGGATTGGAAAGGCAAAAAACAAAACAAAACAACAACAAATCTAGACAACTCATATATCAAAGAAATAATCATAATATAAATTACAAATACTTGGAATTAAATGGAAATGAAAATTCTACATATCAGAACTCGTGGGTCAACAACTAGATATCTGCATGTAAAAGAATAACTTTGGACCCCTTCATCCCACCATACATGAAAATTATTAATAACTCAACATGAACCATATACCTAAATATAGAGCTAAAGCTCAAAACTCTTACAAGAATATAGGAGTAGGGTCAGACACAGTGAGTGGCTCATGTCTAATCCCAGCACTTTGGGAGGCTGAGGCGGGAGGACTGCTTGAGGCCAGGAGTTTGAGAACAGCCTGGGCAGCATAGCAAGACCCGGTCTCTAAAAAAATTTTAAAAATTAGCCGGGTATGATGGCATGCACCTGTAGTCCCAGCTACTCAGGAGGCTGAGATGGGAGGACAGCAGAGCATGGGAGCTGGAGATTGCAGGGAGCTACAACTGTATCACTACACTCCAGCCTGAGCCACACAAGGGAGACCCTGTCTCTAAAAAAAGAAAGAAAAGAAAAAGGAAAGGGGGAAAAAGGGAAAGGAAAGGAAGAAAGAAAAAGAGAAAAGAAAAGAGAAAACGAAAGAAAATATAGAAGCAAATCTTTATGATCTTGGTTTAGGCAAAGCATTCTTAAATTTAAAAACAAAAGCAAAACATAGAGAAAATGGACTTTATCGAAATTTAAATATTGAAATACTTTTGTATTTCAAAGGCTACCATCAATAGAGTTTTGAAAAAAACAATCCACAGAATATTTGCAAATCATATATCTGAGAAAAAAGTATTCAGAATATATAAAGAATTCTTATAACCCAGTAATAAAAAGACCAAAAAACTCAAGCTAAAAAATGGGCAAAGGATTTGAATAGACATTTCTCCAAAACAAATAAACAAACAAATGGGCAATAAGTACCCAAAAAAGTTGTTGTTCAACATCATTAACCCTTAAGGAAATGCAAATCAAAATCACAGAAAAATAACACTCCACACCAACTAGGATGGCTATAATCAAAAGGATGGACAACAGCAAGTGTTGATAGGGATAGGGAGAAACTGGGACCCTAATACATTGCTGGTGAGAATATAAAATGGTACAGCTACTTTGAAAAATAATCTGGTAGTTCTTTAAAAGATTAAACATAGCTAGCATTTGACTCAACAATCTCAATCCTAGGTATATATTCAAGAGAAATAAAAACATACATCTATATGAAAACTGGTTCATAAATGTTCATTGCAACATTATTCATAATGGTAAAAAGTGCAAACAAATGTCTATGAACTGATGAATGAATAAATTGTGACATATCCAGAAAACAGAATATTATTCAAAAATAAAAAGAAATGAAGTACATGCTACAACATGGATGGACCTTGAAAACATTATGCTAAGTGAGAGAAGACAGGTACAAAAGACCACGTTTATATGATTCTACTTATATGAAATGTATGGAATAGGCAAATCTACAGAGACAAAAAATAGATGAGTCATTGCCAAGGCCAGGGAGAAGGGGGAAGGTGGAACTGAGGAGAAGTGAGGAATGACTATTAACGAGGACGGAGTTTCTTTTTGACATGAGGAAATGTTCTAAAATTGACTGTTGTAATGGCTCCACAACTCTGTCAATATACTAAAAACCCATTCAACAGTATACTTTAAATGAGTGAATTACGTGGTATGTCAATTACATCTTAATAAAGCTGTTATAGATATTTTTAAAGTTCCAGCAGTGCTATTGGCAAATTTGCAAACATGTAGATATTTACTTATTCACTTACATTTTATTTATACAGGAGAACTTCTTGCTACCATACCTTCCCCCTGGTTAATACATTTAAGAGGTCATCAAAGACAGGAGAAATTTAGTTCTTATAATAATCTAGTTGTAGATGGTAAAGAAAAACAATTAGCAATCTATTAGTTATTAATGAGAAATATATATCGTATAGTCAATTTTTAACTGTAGTTTACTCTGTAATGCAATCACAATGGAAACCAACATGGTCTAAGTGGTAGTGGTTCATAAAATTTGAACATGAAAAATTCTGTAGGAATTCTAAGGCAGCTTAAATTTTAAATTTCTCCAAATTCCCTTACAAACTCAGACAGGGAAAACTTCATTACAAAAATCCCAAAACACAAAAAGGTGGGGACAAACCACCAATTGCTGTAAGATCTGTGTGGGTATTAGCATCAGTGTAGGAAGAAGCAAAGGACAGTGAGGGGGCATTTGCCAGCCCACAGAACAGAAGAACCCCAAAATACCCAATAGGTACTCTCTATAGAGCACAGCAGGAAAAACTAAGAAAAGTATGTTAAAAAAAAAAAAAAAAGGACTGGGTTTTGCCCACTACAATGGCACATGAGTGCAAGGGTCCATAATAAGGCATAAAGGACACAAAACACTCCAGTCTCTACAAACTTTCAAACTAACCAACCAAAGTTCTCTTTCAGAACAAAGCCACACCAAAGAAAAACTGTTAGGAACAGGACCCAAACTGAAGACAGCGAAATAGAAAAAAGGAAAAAAAAAAAGAAACCAAAGAAAACAGAGGAGAGGGGAGGGGAGGGGAGGAAAGAAAAGGGAAACTCCAGATAAATGTAGAGAAGGACAAAGGAATAAGAAGCTCTCATATAGTAAGGCAAAAAAATTTTTTTAAACATTACACAAAAACAGGAAAAGGATGTCTGTGTATTTAGAAAGGGTAACTAAACTAATAATGCATAAAAATGAGTAAAAGAAAATGACAAGTAAAATCTGATACAAAGTTATTACATTATAAGAAAAAAAGAAGGTATAAAATAAATCTCTAGAGACAAAGAATACATACCACAAACACTTGCCAAGAAAACAGATGAACATTGTAATATACTACTTCAAAACAAGCTGAAAAGACTTTAAAAAATGATACGTGATATGAAAGATCAGTGTATATCAAATTTACAACCACCTCAGAAGTTATCTACCAAGAATTTAGGTGATAAAACTCAAGAAAGAATAAGAAATTAAAAAAAAATTAATTCAAAAAAGACTAAACTAGAAAAAACAAAGAGTCATAAACACAATACGTGTTGTGCTTCTCTAATGCCTTAAGAGAAAGAGAATACAAAATTTTAGAAATTAAAAACATTAAAAAGATAAAACAAATTCAAGAGAAAATAGCAAACACTGAAGATAGCTAAGGAATATCCAATATATGTACAATAGGAGTACTGAAAAAAGCAAAGCAAGAGGGCTGGGTGCAGTGGCTCATGCCTATGATTCCAACACTTGGGGAAGCCAAACCAGGAGGATGGCTTGAGTCTAGGAATTTGAGACCAGCCTGGGCAACAGAGTGAGACCCTGTCTCTACAAAAAAATTTAAAAAGAAAATTCGCTGGGTATGGTGGTAGGTGCCTGTAGTCTTAGCTACTCAGGAGGCTGAAGCAGGAGGATTGGTTCAGCCCAGGTATTTGAAGTCACAATGAGCTATGACCATGTCACTGCACTCCAGCCTGGGTGACAGAATGAGACCTTGTCTCTAAAAACATTAAATTATATTAATAAAATAAAAATGGCAAATAATATACCTAATACTGACTAACCATGAATTATCAACATCAAGATACAGTCTAGTAAAATTACCTGGGCATCTAGGCAAAAAGATTGAATGATATATAAAGGACAGAAAATTAGATTGTTATCAGACTTTGCTCATCAGTAGTACTTGCACAAAACAATGGAGTAATATAGATACTCAAGGAAAGAAAGTGTGAGCTAAGGAG